AAAAACACTAAAAACAAAAAACAATGTTTGAGACAAAATGGGGTACTATAGGAGTAGGATGTTTTTATACATTTTTTGGGGTTTGCCTCCATTTTGTCTCAAACATTGTTTTTTGGTGTTTATGTTTTTTTTGGTGTTTGGTTTGTTTTTTTGGGTTTTTGGTTTTCTCTTAAACTTTGTCGCGCAGCACACATTCGTGATAAGTTGCACAGCTTTTTTTTATATATTGCATTTCTGACACGGATGCATAGATTTCAGGGCTTGTACAACGGCTTTTGCCAAGTACTGGCGCCACTGTGCTTCCGACAGTATCGCTAAACGCAAGTCCTGCGTAGAAAATTCTTTATAAAATCCCTTTTTGAAAGCCATTGAAATTTGATCAAAACGACTCTGCAAAGGCTACCCCTCATGAAGCCACCATACTCTAAATAAAGTGCACCCTACGTAAAGCTAAACATGTTTGTTGCCTGTTCTAAGAATCTAAGTAAAGATTAACTGTATTTCCTTTTTAACTTCCTTTCTTAGAATTCCCTTTCTGTTCTAAGTAAAAACTCATTGAAAATTTCACTTATTAAGCCCCTTTCTTAGAATTCCTTTTCTGTTCTAAGTAAAGATTCATTTCATTTCCTTATTAAACTCCTTTCTTGAAGCCACCATACCCTAAATAAAGTGCACCCCAAATACAGCTAAACATGTTTGTTGCCTGTTCTAAGTATCTAAGTAAAGATTCATTTCATTTCCTTATTAAAGAGCTTTCTTAGAATTTCCTTTTCTGTGTCAATAAAAAAAGATTCTTTTCATTTCCTTTTTATTATAAAATTCTTTTCTTAGAAGTCTCTTTGATCTCAATTCCAGGAATTTGTCATAAGTAAAGATTCATTTCATTTACTTCTTAAATTCCTTTCTTAGAATCTGGAATGAACTTTATTCCATTTCAAAGTGAGGGGGAAGGGGGGGCCCTGTTAATTAACAATACGGGTGCTCCTGGGAGATGTTCTTTACAAAATGGACACGTAAAAATACATCATGAAAAAACAGAAGCAAGAGACTAAAGCAATATCATTGACATACATGTTCATCTTGACATATATATATATAGTGTTATATTTATATTCACTCATGATGCTACATTCATTGCGCGCAAAGAAAGATTAACCTAATCGTCATTGGTGTTACACATTGATAGTAAGCAAACGAAGAGCTGTTAATTGTTGTAATTGACATTGCACAGCCAGACTGGGCACAGGAAGGTTGAAAAATATGCGTTTTGCCTAGGTCCCAGAGCAGTTTTTGAATTTTTGCACGGTATTTACAGTGTTTTCCAGTTGTGAGCTAGTGTGTGCTCTCCCAAGCACACCCGCCCTCCAATACTTCTTTGAGCGGGCAACCAATGCGTTGCATCTCTCTCGTCAAAACTTACATAATCACCTGATAATCACCTGCCCATACTTACGCTATGAGTTCTCCACCTTTCCAACATGTTCCAACATATGCTCGGCGTGTCCGTCCAAACTGGTGCCCTCATCCACAGCGGGGCACTTGTCAGAGACGGCCGCTGTTTGTGATGCGAAAAGGTCGGGCATGGACCTCGGCTTCGCGGTCTCTAGCACCATCAACTCATATCTGGATATGGAGGTCTCTCTAGTCCAATACTGCTATTGTGTTGGAGGCCATTCTTTTTTGCCCTGCATTGTCACATGGGGCTTGTTTGAAGCACAAAGACAGGGTCACACAGTGTGAACCTTTTTTTTTAAACAGTGTTGGCTGCTTTAAACTCACTTGATTGATCCCGTGTGGGGCATGGTTCAACTTGTTTCAACCCTGCCAAGTTTCCCACGTGCCAAGTGCGACTATTGTGATGGCTGTGATCGAATCCTGCATGAAGCAAGTCAAAGAGTTGAACATCATTTATGGGTCTCTCTCCTTCGAAGCATTCTTGTAAGCACTAGCATGTTTGTTTCGACTCATGCAGTTATGCATGTTGCTCTTCCAAACATTACGAACATCTCTAATAAAGTGGCAAAGCAATCAGGTCGTCCTCACTGCAGTTCCAAATGTGCGTTCTCCCCATGAAGCTTCCGAAGAGCAACGCGTTTTTGCTCGCCTTTAGTCGTACTCTCCTTGGAAACCTCAACACCGGGCTGCCCTCCTTGACATGTCTAGGGGTGGGAGTCTTTTTAAATGCCTTTCCCTATCTCTGAGAAAGGGTGCAAATGAAGTCGCCATGTTTTGCCCGTCCTCCAAAGAGGTGACGCAACCAAAGAGCTCCGCAAAATCGCAAATCGCCTGAGATCGGAGTATACATATGAAATAAGTAAAACATATATATATATATATAACTGAAATAATATGTACAGTACACATATGGAACAAAAAGGAGACCGCCCCAGCAACCGCCTTTAATCTATGTTCGATCTTGCCGGGTGTTCTTTCGGAGTCTTCCTATTTTATACACCGCCCGGTGGCTTGTGGATCGTTCAGTGGGATGGCATCCACAGCGATGGGAAATCCATCAGGCAAGTATCAACTGTCAATCAGGTGGAGACTTGAAATCTGCCAACAGGCTAATGCATCACAAGACTGTCAAGGCAGAATTAAGTAACTACCTATTGATTTGGCTAAACCTTTTCCTGCACTTTTAGCCGCCTTTCAAGAAAAAATATGGTCATTTGTTCAAATGTGCATGTTTTTGGTAAAAGCGCCTGTCGCACCAGGAACGTCCACCACTTTATTGGCCGCAACTGCTATGCAAGTGCTTTGCTTTTCGAATTCATGTGCTCTGTGATGTGTCTTTGTGGGGTTGCGTGGGTGGGGTGTATATAATACCGGTCATCGTACGTGCTACGCAAGTGCTTTGCCTTTGACTTGCCGAAGGAGAGTTGGTGAAGTTTCAGGAAGACCTCAAATTAAGTTTCTTTTTCTTTGTGTTGTGTCCACGAACACGGTCAGCAAGATGGGGCTGCTAAAGCTCTGGTGCGCGAATGGAGGAGTTTCGAACATCCGTCTTCTGTGAAAATCGCTGTTTCACTACAGTTCACTGCAGCGAAATCAACCACAAAATCACCCTTCTTCGTGTGGACACGACATCACATTGTCACAGTGTGGACATGACATCGTTGGACATGAAATTGATCCAACATGCAGGTTCAAGCCATTTTCGGACATTCTGCGACTGTTACGCCTTTGTTCGGTCCCATCTGTCTCCTGATGGGCTTTCCACCACGCCTTTCGATTCCTAATTTCACCAACGGTCATGCCTTTGGCAGTTTGGTTTCAGCTGCTTTCCAGATCGACAGAATCTCAAAACAACAATTTTATTTAGGGGTGATAAAATGCTACACAAACACCTATCCCAAAACTGATGGTTTGCAAGCTCACAAAGGGTGTCCCCGCAAAGCCTGTTATTGATGGAGGTGATTTCATAACATTTGTGACCCAAACCTTCTCGAGGGCACATATTACTCCAGTCCTGACATTCTGCTAATCACATGTTCCTGGTGATCCCTTTTCAATTAATGGTTTTTTATTACGCTTTCCTGAAGCAACCCCTGCAACTTATATATGATCATCGCATGATCCAAGTCCAACCCCAGCCCACCACCCGAGACCTTGGGTTCCACACACACGTCAGCCCACCTATGGCTCCTGATCAAAGAGCGGGTTTATGGATCTGGGTGTGATATGGTGTGATCAACACACACACACAAACTGCAAACAAGCAAGCGTGATCATGCACCCTGGTAGGCTATCCCTTAACGGGGGGCGGTTGATGAACCACCAGCTCTCCCTGTGATATAAGGTTATTTCTTTATATGAACCTACCTGCCCATTCAGTGGATTGATCCACAGTAACATACAGTAACTAGTTGCTCAGCCACTTGACAAGAAACTCCACAACTGGTAGGTCTGAAAGTCCAAAACTCCATGCCAAGGTTCCGATCGCCATGACGAAGCAAAGCCATCCGCCACAGTAGGCAGTTGGTGGGATCAGCCTTGGGAGCAGGGGCTGGAGGGTGACTGAACCATTCGACTTCTTCCATTTGGGCCATCCCTTTGGACTAGCTGGCTCTTACAGACTTACATAGACGGAACCCGGCTTCATTGGGCTCTGAAGACCCGCCAATTTTCGAGGCCATTCTCGTCTAGGGCCTACAGGGCCTACTGGGCACCCAACTCCTTTTGGCAGGTGGATGGATGGCTCACTTTTGCTTTCGACTCTGTCCAAAGCGTGTGCAAACAGCAGCAGCAAACAGCTGCTGCCAGTTCATTATCTGAGCACGTGGTGTGCTGATGGCAAAAGATGCAAAACTTTCAACGAACCTGGATCTTGGTAAAGAGGCTGAAGACCCTCCTTTCAAACAGCTGCCGTCTTCAATCAGTGCTGTCTGCTACAAACCAGATTGGCTGCACCCCACTTCAGGTTCGTTGCTTGCGTGCAAGCCAGCCGAGAATGGTTTTGGCCAAGAAATCTGACAGCGAGCTTTTGGAGAATATTGTGACCCTCTCTTCCAAGCATCAGGACACCCAAAACATGGCATATGTCAGTATATGTTCACCGTAGCCGCGTACTTGATTCATCCTTGGCCCAATACTTCAAGCGTATACGCTCCAAGTGAAGCAATGGGCGGCGATGCGAAAACATGGGGCTTTTCTCGATCGCAGGAGTCAAAGAAGCTACTAGTAGCAAAGGGCATCGCTACTAGGAGCAAGGACGCTACCAGGAGCTCCTGGCCTTACTACTAGGAACAAGAAGCTACTAGTAGCAAGGATCCCGACGCTATTAGGTGGAGGCCATCGCTACTAGGAGCAAGAAAGTACTAGTATACGGTATACGGTGGAAGGGTACAGTAGGTGCCTGTTCAGTGTCCAACAATCTGCTGGGTTTCTCTCTAGAGCTCAAACTCCTGGATAAAAAAATACTGAGTCCCCTATCAACTGAAGGTGCTATCCGCAATTCAGGCGATTTCACTTCAGTTGCCAAAGTCCTCCATGGCAAACAAATGTTCAATTGCGGTTCAGAACAGTTGGGTGGATTGAGGCGAGCTGTGATCGACACTACGATGCACTCACAGCGAGCATGATGCGACAACGCAAATGCCACCATCGCCACACGAGTGTATGCATCTCCACAAATCTCCCGACACTTCCTCTGTACAATTCCGTACAGCATGATGAGGTTCCCACATATTCTGACACATGAGAAATGGGCACCCTTTAATTCCTGTTCTAAATTCTTTGGCCCTGAGCGTGCCTTGCTTGGCTCAAAGTTGGCTGGCACACCAGCGCAGGACTTTCCTCTGCGCCTCTCGGTTGATCCAAACCTCAAACGGCATCATTGAGTTTTCAATCGGTTTCACCTCCTGCCCTATGATTTTTGGTTCAATTCCATTACAGTGGTTTACCATGCCCCCAGTACTCCCCAAGCCGAACGTTTCGAAGCTCGGATGTTCCTCGAAGGGTCGGAAGACCGATGTCGACGTCGGAAACAAGTCTTGCTGTTTCTTCTGCAAGTCCGCTCAGCGGAAAGCAACTTCCTCATATTCCTCACCGTTCGACCTTGAGCCGACTGCCGACTTGAGCCGACTGCCCAGTGTATACAAGAGTTCAACAGTTCCAAAATGACGAGTCATTCGCGGCTTTTGTCCTGTAGCTCATGTGTGTTTCTCACCCTATTTTGCCAGTTCCTTTGTGCAATCGGAAGCCCATGCAAGTCAGTGTTGATACGTTCAGGCCCATGCCATCATGATGCGATCAGGGGCTGCATCCGACATCCGACAGTCAAGCCAAAGAACTCCTGGCTTGATCTCCAGCTCCACTTCATCTTTGTCCTTAGGCCACATGCACGACCTGCTGCAGAAAGGACTTAAGACTGCATTGACGCCAGTGATGAATTGGTCAAAAGAAAGTGTTCATAATAAATGTTCTATAATTCAGTCAAGCATCTCCGACATCTGTGATGATGCTTGGAATCCATCGCTTGTGGGATGCAGAAAAGTACACGACCTTGTCACCAATCAATGGAACTCCTGAGAGATGGAGATTTCGGGCAGTCTTCGCTCGGTATGGACCGACATCATTTGGACATGTTTGGACCGTAGGAGGACCAGCTGTTGAGACCACCGAGAGGGTGGGCTGGAAGGTGGGCTGAGCCCAGGTGAGACGAGACACATGGGACTCATCGGATAACACAACTGCCAGACGGCTTGCCAAACTTACAGGCACAAACACTCCTATGTACTGTATCTCCTGCTCTGGCTAAAGCATCTCGTGTTGCTGCTGACATGTCTTTTTGGGGTTTTCAAGCGTAAGTCGTTAGTGGAATCCCATCTTACATCTGATCAGGGCGCTGGCAGGACTTCACAAATAGCCTGCCCACACAAAAATGTGTGCTGTGTCACTGTGTCAATACTGCACCCATACATACAGTATCAGTCTGCTGTCGGTTTCAGGTGTGGCCGGTGTGGCCTAATGGATATCATGATACCATCAGTATCATCATGAGGTTGTCCTCCAGCACATAAACATGATCGCATTCGACATCGCATGAATGCTTCCTATGTCCAGCCATTGCTCGGAATGGACACGTTCCGATGTCCAACACAGGGCTCCCAGAAACTGTGAGCAGTCAACGCATCTCGTATGTCCAAAGCTCGTAGATTCTGAGGTGCCACAGTTCCTCAGCCCGGTGCAGTTTCCCGCAAGCGCTTAGGAAAGAACCACAAAAAACAGAAGCGTCCCTGTCTAGATAAGCATGTCATGTCCAATTAAGTCTAAGAGTGAACACTTTCTATGCTTTCAAGGCAATTGTAAGTCTGATGAGTGCCCATCAAACTACGCTGAATATATATATATAATATACATATAAATAACTATATATATCGATCTGGGACCTTGCCAAACCACCTGAGTACATTGGTCAAAGGGATTCTTCCGCCCTGAAAACTTCCACAAAAAGGTAGTTCAAGCGTCTCAGGTAGCTCGCCTGCTGCGCCGGCGTAATCCAGGCCTCAAAGCGGTTGGCAATCGATTCGATGAAAGGATCGAATTTGTCAAGAAGGGGGGGGACGACACCCAGTAAAGACCAGGAGGGAAGCATAGATTTCTGCAGCGGGGTCACTTGGCCAAAGGCTTGGAAGGAGTAAGGCCTTCTACAGTCGAATGCGCACTCCATGGGGTTGCAGGAGAAACTGGGACGCTTGAACCAAGTGATGTCATGTATGAGTTACAAGGGCAGGTGTCGAAATCTGATCAGCTCGCACTGGGTAAATGTTGGTAAATGTTAGTTCCCAATTGGTAAATGTCAGGGAACTTGGTAAATGTTACTGGCGCAACCTGGTGAATGTCATTTCCCACTTGGTAAATGTGGTAAGTGCACCCAGCTGATAAAAATATGTCTCATGTGCCATGGTTTGACAGGTTTTGCATGCGGCGATCTTACGCCCCAATATTCCTAGATGGGAGGAAGAACCGAATCGAGACAAACAAGAAAAACATTGATAGCTTCAAGGCTAAAGTAGTGGAGACCGTCAAAAGCCAGCATGGCCATGAAACTGTCAACATCAAGGCAACGACCGTGAAAACAATTGATGCTTGGAAAGCTAGGTTGCTACAGCTATGTCTTTCCAAAGGGTGGTCACAGGAGCCACTAGCAAGTGAAGAATCTACCGCTTGCATCGTTTGGTAAACGAAGGGTTCTGCTTCCGACACTCCCATGTATGGACATGCTGACCAGGTGTGTGAAGCTCGTGCGATACATTGTCCGGAGATGCGCCAGTGTGTCTTTCATTTTGGTCTACCCAGATTCGTTCACAACTGTTTCTAGGGCAACAAATGGCGTTCATGATGCAGGTTATGCAACGCGTTTGCCTTACACCGTTTGCATTTTCAAACTCACTAAAAGTTGCTTCTACAAAAAAGACACGCACCAGCACGCTGGCAAAATCTGCCACATGGAGTTGCATATGCCCCCTGGACACCTTAAACTTTCGTTCACAGAAACTAACTTAAACCTAGCCTATCGGCTGTAATCAACATGCGGTTCTAGCCCAAAAGTTGCACAAAAACATGCCCAAAACAACATCAGGTTGCGTAATGATGCTTTATGAATCTTTATGAGCAGCATACAGCACAAGTATATACACCCGGAGTGCACATGTCATGTATGCGGAACTTCATGGTCCAAAGACTTCGGTGATACAATTTATCAAGATCAGGACATTTCAGGTGGACTACAGGCTTTGGACATGTTGGAAAGCTGACTTTGATGTCAATGAAAAGGTCAAACTCGTACTCACATGAGAGCTGGCGTTTGTGATTGCAAAACAAACAACATGGCACAAGGCACGCGCACAAAAACATGATGCATTACAATCGTGATGAAAGTGTACTGTGAGCACTGTTCGTTGTTTGCTCGTCTTCTTGCTGGTGTCCGACAGTGTCTACATTCAAGCTGCATATGGCAGCGCATCGATGACAATGTTGCCCGTCGCGATCTCCTGTGGGGGCTTTGGTGGAAAAATCATGGAAAATCAGCCAAGGGGTAAGCAAAACAGGTTGGGAACAACCCTACCAACCAATTGAGGTTAGATTTGGGGTAGCAATCCTCGGAATGCCTTTTTTTTTCCGCCTTCCCTTGAGAGAAGCCCTGTCTTAGGCTTTCCAAGCACGGCACATCAAACCATCCATCCGCACCTTCTCCAGGACGACACAGGGGATCCAGGCTGAGAGCTTCAACGAGTAGTACTCCAACTCCATGTCTGCGCCAAGTGCGGAGGGTGGTGCCGGTGTGCTTGGCAAAAAGTCGAAGAATCGAACCTTTTTTGAAGGTGTCCTTTCCAACAACTCCTGGACTCCTTGCTGCATCTAATCTACTTCTATCGGTCTACCATGATTCTATTGTGTCTACTGCACCCAGCAAAACACACACACATGATATAGCCGGCTCTTTCGGGTCTTAACCGAGCTGAGGATCGCCCCAAGATCCCAGCCTGGACGCTTGGAAGCGTGCCTAATATCGTGATGAAGAACCAGAAGTGGAGGCTAGAAACGCAGGACTCAAGTGCCAGAAGTTCGCTGGCTTCCTGGCCTGCACTTTCAGCAGTAGCATAGCCTGAGGCAGAGGACACCTGGCAAGGACATCTGCGGACTGAAAATCCAGTGCATGAATCGCTGCTTGCATGTGGGGTAGTCTTGCATGTATATTTAATATATTTAATACATAAATCTATGCTATACAACGACCATATATATATATAGATATACGTATACATGACATATGATATTCATTGATATTTGAATCTCTTATACAGCGGAACAAACATCCGCGGGGGGGGCTGGGGACTCTCCAGGCATGTCTGACCTTCTCGCTTGAATCCTGGCCTTTTCAGCCTGAGCAGCACTGGCCAACCGAATGTGCTGCTTCTGGTAGCCTGGGATGTTTTCGGAAGAAGTGGCCACTCAAAGCTGCCAGGTGACTCTCGGTGGCAACAGTCCAATAGTTGCCCAACACTACCAACATTTGAGCTGAGTTGGCGTTGGTAAACCTCCTACGAATTTATAGATCACTGGCACCCCTAACCAGTAATTGGGCTGGGCTAGCATTGCTCACCTATAGATTGGCAAACCTACAGGTGTAGGTTGGCAACCACTGAAATCTCAAGGTTTGCATCACTGGCACCCTGAACTAATAGTTTGGGTTGGGTTTGCGATCCAAGGCTGCAGGATAGCAAACCTCCTGTAGCCTGTAGATTGGCAACCTACTGATTTCAAGGTTTACATCATTGGCACACCGGACCAGTAGTTTGGGTTGAGTTGACGTTTCAAGGCTGTAGGATAGAAAGCCTCCAGTAGGTTGGCAACCTATTGATTTGAAGGTTAGCATCACTGGCACCCCTAACTGATAGTTTGGGTTGGGTTTGCGTTCCAAGGCTGTAGGATAACAAACCTCCTCCTGTAGGTTGGCAACCTACTGATTTCAAGGTTTGCATCACTGGCACCCCGAACCAATAGTTTGATAGAAAACCTCCAGCTGTAGGTTGGCAACCTACTGATTTCAAGGTTAGCATCACTGGCGCCCTGAACCAGTAGTTTGGGCTGGGTTGGTGTTCCAAGGCTGTAGGTTGGCAAACCTCTAGAGCCAGCTCACCTGTAGGTTGGCAACATGTTTCACATCTGAGCATCTGAGTTCTCTTCCCATGGTATACTGAGAGGGTCATAAACATGACAAGTGACGCAAAGGGATCCAACACCCCGGCTTCACATCCAGCTGAATGGAATGCCTCAGTCAAATCAGCACCGTTGATTGTCAACATTTATTGAATACTAGCTACCTACCTCTAGCGGCCTAATTACCCCACCCTGGGCTTGAACAAAAAGGACTTCCACGTTTTCCACAAACTCTTCCTGCTTGGCCTTGATCAACGCAAAGAGCGTGGCTGCATCCAAGGCTCTCTGCATCCACGTGCGTCACTTCGCAAGGTATCCAGCGCCCAGCAGAGGCGGAGAGATATTCCTCAACTTCGAGGTAAGAAGCAGCTCTTCATGGAAGTCTGTCTTTTGTTAAGCAGCTAAAAACAACAAACTCATAAAAACTCACTTCATTCCCCAAATTTGCCTAAAGATGCAACAAATTTAACTTGTTCTGGGACAGCAAACATCATCTGCTTGACTGTGGCAGGATTCGACAGCTTGGCCAACCACAAGGCGACCTGACGACCTGAGCTCATGAGTTCTTCACACCAGGCCAGGCAGTGTTGGGCCGAGACATGGTGGTCATGGTGGGAGAATCACATTGACCAAGAGAAGCAACTCGATCTCTGCATGATTTCAACATCAACCTAAAGCCAACTTCCTGCAGAGCCCGGCAGGTCAGCAGCATGAGCTACAAAACCGCGGCCGACTTTTTCAGTCCAGTGACACAGTTGCAAATTGATCAATATCATGCACTGCCGGGATGCCATCCTGCAGTACTTTGGACACAAACTGCGACCAACCCGACCGACCAGCAGCTTCTGGAGGCTCCGGTAGACATTCGATGCCAAGGAATGGATTGATCAGCGTGGTCTTTCAAGTGACGAGAATGTCTAAAGAACATGTAAAATTTCATCATAAATTAAACAAGTTATATATGTATATATGTATATGTATATATATATATATGTATGTATGTATAACCAATCACTTGGCTCCTCAAACCAAGCAAACTGATCATCATGAATCATCCAGTCATCCACTCCCAAATTCCGTTCACAAACTGGGATTCCATCATCAATTCTATTCTATTCCATTCACCCGCTGAAATTCCATTCGTCATAAAACAGGAGGGCATCGCTATTAGTTGAGTTTCCGTGAAAATCTAGGAACCACATTAATAACGCAAGCGTGAGCTATCCTGCGTCCATACTAGTACCTACTTAAGCTACTAGCTACCTAGCTACTAGCTACCTAGCTACTAGCTACCTCTAGCTACTACCTCTATCGGCCCGTGGTCCACCGCCACTGCCTCGCACGGACCGTCCTGCACCTTTCGGAGCTGTGGCGATCGGATGCGGGCCCTTTGGACCTGGCAGGCCGGGGCGACCCACACAGTTCGACCGAATGGACCATTGAATGGTCTGGGATCCGTCCACGTCGACCTTGCACCGTTGCTGATGTTGTTGTTGGGTCATGAAACAACATTTTACAACGTGTCCTTGAAAGCGACCAAGTCGTGGTTCGATGGTTTTTTGCCAGGAGCCCGCTGCATGGATGGAAATTCAAGGCATTCTGCTGAACAGTCGAAGAAGGATCCAATGCAACCCCACGCCCTGGTTTAAATTCCTTGGATGCTTGGCTTGAAAGCACCCTGCCTCCAGTGTCAGCCAAGTGTTTGGCTTCACATTGACCATAATGGCAAGGTCGCTGCGGACGTTTATCACTTCACCTGATATCGGTTGCTGAACTTGCATACGTATACCATGTACAGCCACTAGTTGCCATTTGCAACGAAGTTGCGTGTTTCTGTGGACGGTGGAACAGGGCAACTTGCTTACCCGTTGAGAGGCATCTTGGGATAAATGTGGTAATACGGGACGGGATGCATGTTCCATTGGCCGGAGATCAAATATAAAGAAATTCTATTGTAATATATAGTATAGAAATCCGGTGTCAGTTTAATTAGACAAAATATTCAACACGTCTTGCTGCACCAACTTTGTTTGCTTTCTTGACCAATTGGACATCGCTTGCTTCAACAGGCTTGGATTGTTCACGGAAGCGAGCTGCTTCCTTGGCAACGCACCGGCACATGTTGGAACCACCGAAAGCTGGCACCACTCGAAACACTGTGACACGAGGGGCAACTCCTCCGTCGGCGTTCCATGCGCTGCTCTGCTCCAAGGCACACGGCAGCCAGCGCTTTGCAGACTTGGAGAAGAATTCCAAGGGCTGCCCCACAAAGGCCCTGCCATCGGGCGGTTTGTAGCGACCCGGAAGGCCGAGATTTCAGTCATCCCTGTGACATCATGTTACTGTGTTCAAATTCATGTTACTTACTGTACCTAGTACTGTACCTAATACCAATGATCTCCACCCGTCGGTTTAAATTGCTGTCTAAAGCAAGATCCCCACAGAATCTGCATGCAGCTGACCGATTCATCAAAGGGATCACTCCTGACCCAACTTATGTATAGAACTCGTTAGTGGCCACACACTTAATTTAGTATTAATGTCAACTCGAGCAACCTGGGCGAGAAAAGCACACTAAACTAAACACCATCGACTGCTTCAGTGCGTTCGCCTTTCTGCCTCCTGCTCTGGCTCGCTATCACAAGGGGATTCCTGAAACATTGCAAGTCGCACCAAAACCACCGTGCAAAGTGCTCAAGTAGGGTGACGATGGTGGTCAAGGGTACATTTCTTGCAACAAAAACATTGCTGAAACTGGTCCCTCCATTTTAGTGAAGTCTTGCTAAACTGTTGAGATCTCAGTCAGGGCAACCTTGACTTTCACAGTATACCCTCTGAATTCCTCTGCAAGCGATCAAATTTCAAACTACCAGTGGCCAGTGGTAGTAATAGTGAAGTTTGAAAGAACAGTGAAAGTAGCTGGCGACTAGATGCTGCCTTCCAATGCTCTTTAAACTACGAAGGCTCTCCAACAACCACTGCCGCCACTGCGGCCACCTGCGTACCTGGCCTGTGGCGGTGGGGGCAGATCATCGTCTCCATCCACGTAGGGCTTCTCTGTGCTGCTGAGGTAGGACAGCGAATTCCCTGCAACCGCTGACAAAGGTTGACCAGGTTGACGCCCCCCCCAAAAGAGGAATTTACAGCAAACATGCCATATCATGCCATGATCCCTGTGTCCTTAGATACTCCATCCGATTCTTTCACAAAGCTCAGCTAATTTCTTCTACTGCTAGAAGGGCTGCACTGAGCATGGCTCCTGGTCAAGACCTTTTGATCTATCAGGTCCCAAGAGTTTGAACTTCCCTTGGGCCGCCATCAAATTGACCATCATCCTTCTGCCCATTTGTTTCACCATGTTTCACCTGCACCAGTGCCAACCTCTGCCATGACCTGTTGAACCACACAACTTATGCATGAACGTTGGGTGATCTGGTGATGTCTTCACAAAAAAATACCGTGGGCACAACATGGTACAACAACGCTCAAACTGAACAGAAAGGGGCCCAAACCGAACACATGCTGACAGGTAACAACACGTAACAACAGGTGTGGCTGCTCGTGGCCATTGCTTTCTCGAAGCAAAAGGAATCCCCTTTTTTCGAACAGTCGGAGGCTCGAAGCTTTGGGATTAAATCGGAGAAGCGCGGCTGGACATGTACTCAACTCATGCAACTCGCCTGGTAAGGGCTGAAGCCATATTGGTGTTGGCACAACCTGACGGAGACCAGGGATGACCTGGAATAGAAAAGGAAGTGAACCGGAGTGCTCCGTATTCTGTTACGGAGTCAGGTTTGTCCATGAGATGCTATCCTTCGGATGCAGAATAGTGATCCGATACCGATGCACTCTGCGACTAGAAAAGGTGCGAAAAGTGGAGAGCTTCTCCATTCAGTCTTGGAGCGAAAGTGTCTAGCTAGAGTGTTTGGAGCCTGGAGTCAAAAGAGCAACGAGGAATACCTCCAAAGAATGCAAAGAAGCAAACGTTGCCTTTTCATCCCGGTGGTCAAGTTGGGTGGCACTTGGACGACAACCCAAAGCATAGTGTCAAAGGTCCTTTGGTTGCCCATGGCCACGCCATGTTCCTCCATGCTTCAAACGCCCTCACATTAAATGATCTTAAATGAGGTTTTGATAGGTCTTGAGGCCTGAATAATTGAACTAATCGGAACATCTCACTGGCCTCCGGCTTTGCCGCTTGGGGTGAGATTCTAGGCGAAAAGAAGCTGGGCTCTGCAGTCGAGACCTGGCAGCTGAAGCACAAACTGGATGTCTTTATCAATGGTGAAAAGTGTCAATGATCATTCTGGATCAACAAATATCTGCCTCAAGCTGCAACCGCGGCCACGGTCAAGATGGTGATTTGAGGGTGTAATTGAGTCTCTGGAATCTGGGGTGCATGCATACGCATGTTAAAAACTGAACGGTAAAGGATGGACTGTGTCGAAGTTCAATCCTTTTTCAACTTCGCACACCTTCCCTCTTCCCATTGCGTCCGGGCCTCAGATCTGACGACTTTGCCGGGTGAGCTTGGCGTGGGCGAGACCTTCCGCAAGGGTTGTGAATAATTACCGGGGTGGCCTCTAGTAACAAGGAAGCTACTAGGTTGGAGGCCATCACTACTAGGTTTGAGGCCATCGCTAGCAGCAAGGACGCGCTTTCCCAAACCACAGTGGGACATGTCGTTATGTGTCCGACATTCTTTCGGCGTGGAAGGTTCCAGCGGGACTTACTGGCAGCAGGTGTGCTGATGCAGCTGTTGCCGCCAGCCCTAAGAGGTGACGCAGCTTCAAGGTTTAATCTGAAGTTTGGAGTTGCATGCCTCTTAATCACTGGCCAGGCCTAGTCTCATTTCTGTCGCAAGGGCACTTGAGTGCAGAAAAAGGAGTACATGGGCCGCAGGCTGCGCTGCTGGCAGGGTTGATGGTGTGGTCATGGCTCTGGAAAACAAAAACAAATATCAGGTCCTTAGTTTTTATATAGCTGCACGCCTGTTCATAATACCACATGCATATATATATATATTATATATATATGTATATATAGTATATAGTATACTGTAATATAGTATGTATCCTGTTTTCCCAGCCAGGGGCTGCTACCGGGCCTCGGATCTCAGCACTTTGCTCGGCGAGCTTGGCTCGAAGGGCGACACCTGACAGGCGGAAGTAAAATAGGTGGCACTCAGTCTACATCAATTTTGTGAGAATGTCCACTGCATGTTCCGAGTAACAAGGAAGCTACTAGGTCGGAGGCCATCGCTACTAGGTTGGCGGCCATCTCTACTACGAGTAGTAGCAAGGACGCTACTAAATGCCTAGATGCGCAATTCCGATTGTGGGCACCTCACAGTGATCCGTTTCCCCGTGTTTTGATCTGCTTTCGCAGATTGATGAAATCTGTGGGCACAAACTACATGCTGGTCTGTATCGACAAATTCCTTCGTCGGGCTTTTGAGACTCTTCAAACCGCAAAGCCAACGGACTCTCGAATGTACAGCCTCAATGACCTGCTTCATTGGACTCGTAGGTGAAGCCTCCTGCAGTGGTGGGTAGAAGCTCATAATATATGGGCATAGTATGACATAGTGAATTCATGTGAATTCTACATGGTATACCATGTTTAACTCATTTTAACTCCAAATCAATGGACAACAGTTAATCCAATGAAGAAACGTTGCAAACACTCCATGATGCAGTTCGCTTGAATCGGTCCCATCGGCCCCATCGGTCCCGACCTCTTCCACATGCTTTTGCCGGAAGAACAAGCTGACTGGGCTCAGCTCCTGCGAAATTGGGCAAGCTGAAATGAAGGAAATCGCATGCTCCACAAGAGCTAAACCTGCTTATGGTCTAGAACCACATGTTGCTCAAAGCGTGAGTGTTGTTATGAGGATGCAAAGTGTCTTGCTAGTTATTCTCAAGTCATGTTTCATGATGTTTCTCTTTGTGACACAGGTCACAAACCACGTTTTGGTTGAAACGCTGGCCCGTTTGTGCCCAAGTCTTGGTTCTGCTCGTCTGCTGTCGATCATGTCCCCACAAATCGGTTTCCCGCGCTCCTGCATGGCCATTTTGGCTTCATGGGCTTCGCGCTCCTCCTGGCCAAACGCGTCAGGAGCACCCGACGCATTGGCCAAAAGCATTGCCTTTAGAGTCCAGGAATGCAAGGCCCTGATGCAAGACATTTCTCGGGAGAATGACAAACATGGTTTATGCAATCATTTATACTTTCTAATATAATCTAATATACATATTTATAGATAAATATAGCATAATCAAAGTTGCACACTTCGCACCCCAAAAGGCAATCACCACTCTTGGTGGTTGACATGTCAGGTCCTCCTTTAAGTGCTTGAGGCGGAACATTTGGCTTGGGCTCATGTCCTGCTCAGATTCAGAAATTGCTGACGCGTGACCGCTTTCCAAGATTGAGCTTCATGCCAACAGAAACCCAGGTTTTGAACATGCAGGTGGATTCAATGAAACCAAGAATCCCGAAACTGCAGGCCCACTGTTTGATGGAATTAGGACTATCTGTGACATGTTTGGTGTCCTATTTCTTGCTAAGGTATGCACCAGGAACCCCTATTTGTTGAATGTGCATCAAACTCCACAAAAAACCAGCCTTCAGTCATAGTGTTTGATCATGTGGCATACCAACCAATACGCCCGATGCGCCAAACACTTCGAGCGAACAACTGCCATCCAACGGTTTCCTGCACTGCTTCAGCGGTCTCCTCCACCGAGCTGGAACGGTTCCGAGCGATCAAATCCAAGGATCCGAGGGGTGAAGCCAAAACGAAGTGCTTGAATGTGCTTGATATGATCTCGATGTGAACGCGTGCATTTAACAGTATGTGCGAGCACCAACTGAAGCTGAAGGAAAGAACGTCTAGTTTCAGAGTGGGCAAAGCGTGTTATTTCATCTTTGAAGATCCAGGCACAATGATTGTTGTTCTTGTCGAATCCAGTCGTTTCTGCACTATTTGTTGGCCAAGGTATTTAGCCGTTTCTGCACTTGGGCTCCTCTGGCTTGGAGTTTTGCGAAGAGTCCTTGGTAGCGTCAAAATGAGCAAAGCACGTGGGTCAACAAACGGTGAACAAGTCAGAGAATAGCCCAATGGCTTTAGATCTATCCATGGGTGTGGCAGGACATGAAAATGGCTGGAACCAAAATGGTACCTCAAAGAGCAACGCCCTGAGCTGAACAAACGGGATGGCTGGGTTATGCTGGGTTAGGGCAAGTTAAATCCCTGATGGGTCCTATGCCATATTCCATTGTGGAAGCAACGTGTTTCCTACGTCAAGTTCTGACCAGTGGATACAGCTGATCACAGTCTTCGTGGATCACTGGGACGATTTCAGGCAAAACCGGAACGTGAAATGGATTGATATGTGGGACTGTGGGGTGCCACGTTAAAGGCCCCTCCACTTGACTGCAGGCGTTCGCACCCACACGTCCGTGTTAAAGGCCCCTCCTTTTTTCAGCCCGGTGTTCTCTTTATCTTTTTAGCCGGCCCTGCCTCCTCACTTAGTTAAGGGACTAAATAAGCTCCTACTTATGCTATTACAGTAAATCCGCTATTAGTATGGAGGCAGGATAGCTCATGCTTCCTTAAAGAAGCGCTCGCACTAACGATTTGGTTCCTAGATTCTTAGGGACACATAACGTTGGGGAAACTGTCATGGACTGAGTACTACTAGGAGGTTCCGGACTACCACCACAACATACCACTCCTCGACTCTCCCGATGTGCAGGCGGGCGGGCGGGTGTGTGGTGGATACGTGTGGGAAGTGGGAATTGGCTCTACATTGAGAGTGTTCACGCATCCCAAGTGCAAACATACTGGCAGCCTACTGGCAGTCTGGCAGTGGAAACATGCCCAATTCCAGCCACTGTGCCTGAGCCCTCTTGGTGGTGCTCTTTGTCATCACAGAACCTGCGACGATGTGACTATGTTCACTTTATGATTTGCCCCGAGCCGAACCAAGTACTGGAGATATGTGAATATCAATATCATTTATATACTGTCCGCACTACTGTCCGCTCATGAACAAACAATATGTCAAGCTCCTTGTTGCAATTATGTTCTCGCATGAGTCCCGGCTGGAAGAATCACACATACCAGATTGAATGTAAAAGCCTAGTGTGTTGGAGGGGAATTCATCCACAACATACCTCTACTCCTTGGCACTAAAAGGCATCCCAATCTCCAAAGGGCTTGGGCTTGTCACATAAAAATGTACGTTGCAGCCGTTGAAGCTGCATCTCAGTTTTTGTGCTTGCTTTCCATCTTGAATTTGCCAAAAAAGCCTTTGACTGCTTCAGCGCTTTGACTTCTCTGACTACTAGGTCACGTTTCCACACTAGGCCTACAGCCGCACCAAGAGCTGCCAGTTGCTGCTGGAACCTGAGACATTCACTTCACACATCTCGCATACCTCGGTTCTTTTCAGCGGAAAAAACCATCCAAAACGGGGTGCCTTTCTCGGGCCTCGCGTCTCTGGGCCCCCCACCATGCACCAGGCGAGGCCCTCCCTTGTGGGACCCATGTGGCAATCGAAGACTGCGATGTGCACTTGGCCAGTTCTGGCATCCGGTTTTAGGACGAGTCGGCTTGGAGACGAAATATGAGGCCTCTCGTTGTTTCTGGTTCAACAGAAAAAGGTGACTGGCAAATACTGGCAAGCTCTAAGCTGAGTTCACCATCGGGTAATAGATTCGATGATCATCTTCGATCTTTAACGATCAACATGATCAACTTTGCAGTGACCAGGTTGCCAAGTCCGCCTCTATCAAGTCGAAGCGACCACGGTTCTATCCATGTCGAAGCTGGTTCTATCTGGTTCTTGCACCAACATGCCACTCTTGTTTTTGTGGGACCCGTGCGGATCGCTCCGACACCAGCCATAATTTCCACCAGTGTTCCTACCCTCTCTGCCTGGCTCACCGCACGGCTCGCCTCCTTCGTGCCTGACGTTTCGGCGAACTCGCCCCGACGTTTCAACCAACACGGCGTCCATGACCCGTGCGGCTCTTGGTGGTTGTGGGAGGTTTTGGCTACAAACATAGTCTGAGTCTAATGGTCTCGGTATACTCAGCGGAGCACATGAATCGTCAGGATAATTTATGATAATGTTGTACGATCTCATACAAAACCTGAAGCAGTCAAGGCCCCCGGACTGTGGATTCAAATCCTGTGTCTGACGCTGCACAGCCATGAACTTCCGGATTCGCTCCAACCTTGGTTGGAGGACGATGGATGATTCAATTAAAAAAACAAAAAACACACACACAGAGATTGGACATTGCAACAAACACTGACACTCGAATCGAAGTTTCTCCAACAGTTTACTTATATAATTCAGCCATGTCTAAAACTTACCATCACCTCAATGTGTACCTGTCGAGCCAAGGTGCGCCTTGCCCAGAAGCATTCCATCTCGTGGTGGATCCTGTGATGTGGTTTTGGTCTTGGCTGACCCTCAGGTTGAATGCCTACAAACTCGTCTTCTATGCCGTCAAAACTGCAACCGGATGTCTACCATTGCATTGGCCTTTTTCTCCCGCTCCACCTCAATGAAAAATGATCCCCAGGACTGTCCTTAATCCAGGCGTGATCAAGTGCATCATCAGCGCTGATGCGATCCTGAACGCATATCACATTAGCGCCATTTGCCGTGTTCATTGACGGCAAGTGTGATCATTGGCAATACAGCGCGAGAGTGACAGTCCTTCACCTTCATCTTCAAAAGGGAACGGATTAACGATTTCGCTTCCTGGCAGTGCACTATGACAGAATCGCCTGTCGGGATTTGGTCCACATGTTGATGCCAGCCTCTTGCAGACAAACATGAATGTTGCAAACAACATGTTTCGATGTTTAATTCCACAAATACAACCTCACACAAGATTCAACAAGCCTTTACAGTAAGTTGAGTTGACCGTGCTGCCACTAAACTTAACAGTTTCATTTTGTCGGACTGGAACACTTTGTATTGCGACGGCAAAAGTCATGCGTTGCGCTGTGCATTGTCTCATCAAAATGGCCTGTCAGCTGTCCTCCACGCAGTTTCTGATCGGTAATTCCAGGTTTTGTCGGGTCAAACAAGTGCCACTAAACTCCAGCAGCGCGTCAAACCCCAGCCGCAAGCAAATCCCAGCCTCACTGATGGTGGACCAATCTGACGACGGAAAAGAATAGTTCCCCCTGATCGCATTGAGTCCAAAGGCGTCACTTGGAAGGTTGAGCTTTTGCCGGGGTGACAAGTTGAAGATAGGCCAACTCCTCTCTTAGCAGTCTCTTGGCTGAACGGTCCGGCACCAAGAGCGCGCACAAACGAGTTTGCTTTGGTGCGTCATGCGCCATGCCCCTCCAATTGACAATGAACTGTCAGCCGCCCCACCGCCGTGAAAAGCCTCCACACAACCTACAGGACACTGACCTTTGTACAAGCCATGCAACACTGTAACACAATGGTCCATCATGCGCTGGCTTGCGGCGTGAAGACTCCTTGTAGCACTTCACGTACTCACATTTGTCAATATGCGGACACCATGGCAAATTGTTGAATGCTGGTTTTACTTAACCGTCTTGATGCCGCTACGTATAGCGCGTCGCACCAGCATTCAAAGCACCAGTGGGTTTCATCATCTCCGTGATACATGTTCTCAAGTGTACCAAAGAATGGCACAAAGTCCAAAAACAAACGCAAGGTGCGAATATATTTCTGGATTTTTTTCGTTTTTTTTTGATTTTTTGTTTTTCGTGTTTCATGGCAGGTGCAGTGCTTTGTGGACCTTGCAAAGCACATTTCGTGGCAGGTGCAGGACTTTGTGGGCCTTGGAGTGCAGAGTTTGTGGCAGGCGCAGGACTTTTTGTGGGCCTTGAAGTGCAGATTTCGTGGCAGGTGTAGTACTTTGTGGCCCTTGGAGTGCAGATTTTGTGGCAGGCGCAGGACTTTGTGGACCTTGAAGTGCAGATTTCGTGGCAGATGCAGGACTTTGTGGGTGTGGAAGTGTAGAGTTGGTGGCAGGTGCAGGACTTTGTGGGCCTTGGAGTGCAGATTTCGTGGCCGGCGCAAGACTTTGTGGACCTTGAAGTGCAGATTTCGTGGCAGGTGCAGTACTTTGTGGATGTTGAACTGCAGAAAGATAGAAAGATAGAAAGATAAATTGATAGATAGATTAGATTAGATTAGATTAGATTAGATAGATAGATAGATAGATAGATAGATAGATAGATAGATAGATAGAGGAGGCATATTTGCTTGGTTAGAAAGTTTTGCACCGGGGAGTTCACCTTAAAATATTGATTTCGTGGCAGGCGCGGGTGTCGGGGATGAAGTGCAGATTTCGTGGCGCGGGGGGGGTTGCGGGGGGCGCTGATCCAAAGGTGAGCAGCTCGTGTTTGCTTGCTTGCTTGCTTGCTTCCTTGTTTGGTTTCGTCTCTGCAACGAAAACAACAGGAAAAGCAAATACCAAAAGAGAAAGGAGAACAGCTACCAAAAGAAAGAAAGAAAGAAAGAAAGAAAGATAGATAGATAGATAGGTATAGACAGATAGATGGATAGGCCAAAAAGCCAAAAGCCACAAAAGCCAAAAGCCACAGAAGCCACGAAAGCCACGAAAGCCAAAAGCCACAAAAGCCAGAAGCCACAGAAGCCAAAAGCCACAAAAGCCAGAAGCCACAGAAGCCAGAAGCCAGAAGCCACGAAAAACAAAAAAATATCCAAAAAAGAAACAAAAAACAATCCAAAAATAAATACCCCTCCGCCAAGAACGTATGCTCTTGACGTCAATTTAAATGATCATCATGTGTTCTGAAACATGTTGTCGCTTCATATTCTAAAGGTTACGATGAAATATGATAGAATTAAGATGGCCTTGGACACAATAAACAACATTTAAAATAAACAATGAAAACAACGCCAAACATAGTGAAGGAAACATGTTCTTTCGTTTTTTCACTCGGGGCTTTGGTGCCGGATTCAATTCAACCTTAAAGACACAACAATCACGCAGTTCAACATGAACGTCGGGGGTCGGTGGAACAGGTACATTCCGGAGGGTTTCTTTTGCGCCCACACCATACTTGAGGCCGAGGGTAGGTGACGAAAGCTAGCAGGGGTGCATCCGTGTCAGTGGAGGCGAAGCATACAGCGCCGTCCAGTGACAAAGGAGGACTGGTGGGACATCAAGCGGAGTGAGGCAAATCCGTTTTCATAGGCATGGGGCTGTTGGAAGGATGGTTCACAAGGCCTTGCTCATGACTCATGAGGTTAAAACGTTGTGAAAGACATACGAACAGCCAAGAGGCGTTGAGGAGTTGAACCAAAGTGGATGCCATAAGAGGTGTCCAAGAGGTGTCCCAGGGGGGAGTTGAACCCCCAAGAAGGGGGGCCCATAATATGAATTTTTGACGTGATGCAGCGATCTCGAGGATTCCAGCCCCTCACTTGCTAAAGCAAGGACAACTCCAGCTAGCTGGTGCTAGCTTTCGTGATAAAAATCTAATTTTAGTGACGTTTCCAGGGCTCCATCTTCTTCAAATTATCAATTAACAAATTCACCTGAACATCTTCCTGCTCCAACTTTTTGGGTCCACCGCAGCCACTAGAAAATGAGGTGCAACCCCTAAACCCAACTACCTATCATTGTCTACATGGTGGATCTGGGCCCTCAAGGAAAGTGTGCCTCTGGCCTGCCCGCCCTAACTAACCTGCTATCATCTACCATTCTTGCGTTGAGAACGTCAAGTTTCCACTGGTCACTGGGCGCGGCCAAGCATTAGCAAAAAAAAGCCAAATTGAAACGACAATAAGACAAATAGAACTAGAAACCCGAATTTGGAAACAAAAAGCAAAACAAAAGCATGAATCAACTAATCATCAAGCAAACAACATGGAGTCACACTTGCAAAATTCCATGACACTCCATGGATTTCCATGGTTTTTGGGCTAGAATGGCGAGGGTGGGCTGGGCACGGGTTCCTTTCAAAGCACCAAAGACTCTAGCACCCAAGCCAAAGTTCAAGCCAATGTGAAAAAATGCGAGCAATACATTTTCTAGTGCTGAAGGTGTTCCTCACTGCAGAATGCAAAGCTTTTCCATGTTGGTAGGCGCCCTTATATTCTAACGAACTCCAATCATTGTGCTTCAACTGTTGGCTTGGCTGAGCTGAGGGATTGTGAGTTCATGAATGGCACATGTGGCTGGAACTTTATGCCGTTCTCTCCTACTTGGCCATCCCTCAAATGAACATATTTTTCTTTTCGTCTACTTGGTGTACGCACGTAAACGCAAACATTGGAATGGAGTCAGGCGTGTCCATCCTTCACGTTGCTGGTTGGAGTCCCAAAACATGCAGAACATCCTCGTGAGTCGTGTTCCCACACGCGACTGTTCTAGAAGAGTAGGATACTTAGAACAAGCAAAAAAACACACTGCTGCACTGTTGGAGGAAACCGTTTAGCAGCAGAAGACAACAAACATAGGGGTGGCAAAGACTGGTCGCTTCCCGTGCACAGCAGGGCCTTCGAATGGCCGTCATGATGGCTGCATCCGTCTCTCCACGGAAGGGCGGGAATCCACACAAAAGGATGTAGAGCAATACCTAGGTCACTAACCCAGCGAGTTCGGGGTGGCACTGCACCGCACTGCTGAGACTGCTGGCACTTTCATCTTGGGGCCGCCAAACGGTGTGATTTAAGACAGTCCACCGGAACGTCACACCAAGAGGCAAACGGTCGAAAGCCGCCCATGCCGAAAGCGGCGATAACGAAAACACCGCTGAGCTCCCGAGCTCCACAGCTCCAAAGGTCAACTTGATGATCGTACTTGCACTCCAAGACCTGCCCCGCTGGACCCGTCGCTGCGCAAGACGCGACAGTGACAGGCGAGTCGGACCATCGACATCTCTTGAAGTGATCAAGCATGAACACATATTAAGAAATTCTTCACCTGATCATGTGAGGACCGCACACTTGGTGAAATGCGGCACTTCAAGCCATTTACTTCTGAAGATACTCATCTTGCTGGCCGGCTAAGCGGGCGAGAGGGGAAGGAGGGAAATTTTTGCATTCAATGTCGATCTGCTTGGATTTATCTACGGTACCTATACTTGGAAGTGGTAATGTGATTTTTTTGCAAAAAAACCACTGCACAGTCTGTCAAAGCAGCCAATGACAGCTAGCAACACACTTTGTCGAAACACATTTATCTTTCAACTCCCGTGTGCACTGTGATTCTCAAAGACTGGGGAGGTGGAGGGTTGAACTTTGAATGTCGTTTTATCGTGCAATGTGGCATCAACATGGCCCACATACCAACACACACGCAAACTCTTTAAACACCCCCAAACACCAAAGCCTTGTCCTAATTTCTTGACCGCGTCCCATAGGCTCGCCCGTACAGCTCGCATTCCGACCAGCATGTTTTGCCTGTGGTGCCACGTAGACCACCGTACCGGCGCACTGTCGCATAGGCTCTCCAGGTGTGAAATGACATGCCAATCCAAAGTCCACCACTTTCCTTGGAGAGCATGCTGGATGAATATGACGCGGGTCACTGTCAATGCGGTATCTCACAGGTGTTAGGTTAAGTTACAACACATGGGGAGCTGCTTTGGCTTGAAAGTTTTGGATTCGTTGCTATTCGTGTGTTTTTAGCGGCAACTGGCAACACAATGTTTGAATGGTACTTTGAATGGTCACTTGAGCCATGCTGAAAACCTTGATAGATTCCTATGTCGTAAGAACTGCCTTACGCGAAAACTTACGCGGCGCTTACGCGATCGCAGTTTCAGCCCACGCGGGGGTGTTGCTTATGCCGCTGCTTACGCCACCTTACGCCATTGCAGGCTTTGCTTACGCAGCATCGATATGACATAACCTGAAAATGTCTGGCTTACGCGAAAGCTTACGCAGAGCTTACGCGACCGCAGTTTTAGCTTACGCGGGGGGAAGTTTTCAGCGTGGCTCACTTGCGATTGAGGTCGCCACTCAAAAACCCTAACATCCACCCAAACATACCCAAACTGCACCTGTCTAGTCACTGCTCGGTCCCTTGTCAAGGTACAGGGGTCAACGCTTCCTCAAATCTGCCGGGAACAGGCCTTGCCTGTGTTCGTTTGCACCTTAATGGCGTGACAGCACAGCGATCACTTTGGCTTGCTTGCAATCGAATTTGGACTTTTTTTGCCACTATTCGGGCCTTGTCACCAACCTGCAACTCACATCTCGCATGCGTCTGGGGTTGTAGCGGTGCACCTGTCCCATCGGATTGGCCCTGTGGGCAAGCTGCCTTCCCCGGAGATTCCTGACCTTTCTTCATGCGTTTGTTCCTTTCCCCGGCCCGTGCTTCTCTTTTTGGGTCTTGGACTTCGCATGACTTCCTGGCGGATCTTCTTCGCTGGGGACCTGGTCTTGGCGAACGCGCGAACGCTCCGCCAGGCTTTTGTGTGGCCCAGCTGTGACCAAGGTCTCGGATAACATACCTTGATCCTCTCAAACACAGTCTGCCGCGCAGCATTTTTGCAGGGGTGGTCTTCTCGAAGTCCGCGTCTTTGTTGACACATGCGATGCGGCGCTCTTGAGGATTCCACCCCCCTCACTAGCTAAATCAAGAACAACTCCAGCTAGCAGCTAGCTGGTGCTAGCTTTCGTGACAATACAGAGTTGTGTTCTTTTCACTTTTATCTGTTGTGTGTGTAAAAGGGAAGTGTGCAATGCCAATTGAATTCGACAGCAACATGCACGTCAGTTGTATAGCTGAAACCGCCCAAACTTTCAGTTGATTGTTTGATCCACCAACCTGCAGCTGTCTGCCCACATCCTGCAGCTTGGACTCACCACATTCTCGCTCATTGAAGCTTGGCTCATCACCAGGGTGTTGGCATGTTTCAAGTCCTGAGCAAGCCATGACGATGGATCTGACCGGCTGATCTGCCATGACGATGGATGCTCGAGAACATCACAACAGTCCAAGACTTGACTTTTTTGGACACCAACTGCTGTCGGGGCTCTCGGTGGCACACTTGGACTGAGTGCATGTAGCGAACAGCGGCTAAGACCTCGCCCAGGCAGGACTGAACGCGCGTGAACTGATTACTTGGCATGAGTCGAAGGTTGCATGGGGCATCATGGCGCTGTGATTAGGCATCATGCGTGTCCAACTGACTTGAATCGACCACAACACGAGGAACAGGAGCTGTGGTTGACCTGCACCAAAGGGTCTTCGAGTGGAAATGTCGATCAGTTTGTGATTTTGGACTGCTGGGCGACGGAGTGACGGCGACCGGGGACAAAGTCCTGCGCATCAATCACGTCAACGGTCCGGCCCGTTTGCCTGGCGCATGATGTTGGCTGCCTGCAACTCACTGTGGTACCCAGTCTCCAGGATGAAACCTGCACAATCTCGAACGGTGCCCGGAAGGGACCCATGCAGCAAACCATGGCTATGAATGGCTACAAGATGCTACAAGTACGAGCAGTTTGGTGGTTTTTTGGCCTATCGACCTCTATCTGAGAAGTCCGCCCCGTTTTGTGCTCCTCAATGTCCACGCTTGGTGCAGTCAGGTTCGCTGCTTTTTTGCCAGTGAAGCGGAAAAACATGGAAAAAACACATAGTCTATACTGATATGTCTTGATCGTGATCTCCATACGTCAAATCCACCTCGGACCTTCCGGCTTCACTGCGATCCAACGTTTGGTCCCACGACCCATCGTGCCTAGAAGTTCGCCGCCACTACAGAGCTCCATGACAAGGAAAACATTCTCAGCATCCTGTGCAGGGCGTTCGGCACCAAAAAGCCGGTGAATTGGCCATGTGGTAGACTGGAGGAAGGCAAAAGGCGTGGGGGTCAAGGTCTTTAGCGGCACCATGAGACGATGTTGAACAAACTCCACCCCACCCTTCTGTTTCTCAGACCATCGCTGAGTGTGTCCTCTTTTTGATCTGTTTTGCGCCGATGTGAGCGTGAATCGCAAATGTTTGCCTTGAAGCACTGTACAAGTACTCTAAGAACATCCCTCCCACAATTCATGTCGTTCTGAGATCCTCAACCATGATTTCTCAATTGGGTCAAAACACGTGGGATGTGGGTCCAATGTGGGCCATGTGTTCATTCTTTCATCACCGTCATCACCCCCGGAATTTTCATGGCATCTTTTGTGAGCATAGGAGCATTCTTACTAGTAACAAGAAGCTACTAGGGACTCGTGGCCTTACTACTAGGAGCAAAAGAACGCTACTAGGAGCAAAGGGCATCGCTACGAACGGAACAAAGGGCATCGCTACTCAGATCATCCTATCCGTCTCCATGCGCCGCTCTGCCCCGCACCTCGAAGGTCTCGAAGAGCTGAACGATGTTTGCGTGATCTAACATCCTCGTCGGTGGAACTTGCGTGGAACTCGTGTGGAACATGGTATTGACGGGTTTTTGAGCCTCCACAAGGGACATGGACGAGTAGTATTCGGGGCCGGGGCTATGAAATGGTGTTGGTATACCATTACGGATACCATCATGTCCCAAAGACACGCCGGAAGGTGGGCATAAGAACCTGCAAACAAAGGGTAATAACTTGCGGGTGTCTTCCTTTCGGCTCTGTGTGTGTAGATGCGACTCAGCTAAGGGTTAGCACTTGGAGGGGCAGGGGAGAAGTAAAGATTGAGTGACGTGAGCGCTCTATATAATATATTACAATACATACTATATATTGTATATTATATATCCAAAATCCAAAAAAAAAAGCCGCTTCACACAACAGCTTCTTGTACCCCTTGCCCTCCTGTGCTCTGGGGAGATTCACATTGTCATTGTAGGACTTTGTATACCAGTATACCAGTATACCTCAAAGCCTTTGCTCTTTTCTCATCTACCAAGCAAGGGGACAACCAGTTTCCGCTCTGGTGTTCAAAGACACAGCATGCTCAACACGCAATAAAACACGATGAACATACGCTGCAGGCTCGGCTCAGCCAAACAACAGGGCGGGCTTTGGCCGTTTCTACCGTGGCCAGAAGTGCAATTCCTACAAATCATCAGTGATTGTATGGAGTATGCGCAATATCAATACAGTAGCTTCTGTGAGAAGAAATTATCCGATGCTACTGCTAAGGCTTCAAACCCCTGCTGCCTTGCCTAAGACAACGCCAAACACTTGGATTCAGGAACAACGCTCTGCATGCAACGATGTATAGAGACTATTTAATTGTAATATTGCTTGGACATGTCTTACTTACTAATACTAATACATACTAATACTAGATGATACTAGTGTTTGCTTCTGGCAGTGCCTCACAAACCGCAGCGCGTGACCTCATGATCTTGATCTCTTCGTTGAGGCGCTGAGCATCACGCCTGGTGACTCAGATCCATGCTGCAGAAGTTCCAAACCAGCAGACCAACAAAAATCATCGAGATACAAGCTATCAAGCCAAGCTCCAAACCTTCAGAATTACCCTGGAAGTGGACAAATGGCCCCTGGAAAGACCATTTATCTTTACAAACACGGGGTTTGTCCACTTCCATGTTTGTTTCAGGGATAGTATACATCTCTTGCAACAAAAACTCGAGGACCTTCGATTCTCGAACATCAGTGTCTTCACAGATTGTTACTACTAGCTTCTTGTTACTACTAGTAAGGCACCTGTTACTACTAGCTTCTTGTTACTACTAGTAAGGCACCTGT